CTTTTTAAGTGGGAGAACTTGCACAATTGGTGGCTGACTAAATACTTTTTTGCCCCACTGTATTTCATTGGCCTAACCTTTTGCTGGTGTGTATTCAGATTATGAGTGTGCCCCATAGTGAAAACAATCTCTACATGAACAACCAGCCTGCTAGGAAAGATAGTAGATCCTCCATTCTGGCACAGTTTTCCATGTACATCAAATGCTTTAGCATAGAGAAGGATTACTTGAGCTTCATTTTCAACTGAAGCCCACATTTACTATTTCATAGAAGTTCCTGCTTCCTCCTTTCTAGCCATGAAATGTAGCACTCCTGATCATGTCTGTCTCTCTCTCTTGTGCAGGATGCTGCTGTATCGCAGAATGGCAGCTAGAGAGTTATTTGATGTTATTGATCTCGACCCATACGGCAGCCCTTCTGGTTTCTTGGATGCTGTGGTGCAGAGTGTGCGTGATGGAGGTGAGCTGGTAGCCTCTTTCAGTCTAGGTATTGCTACTGATAGTGGAAAAGGGCTGCTTAGAATACTGGCCTTTTCAGGGAGTTTTGTTGGTAAAGTTTCCTGCCTTTTTTTAATGGCAAGCTGAAATAACAGGTTCCCATGGATTTCAAACTGGAACCCTTGTTTTCTACAACAGATGTATCTGTAGCCATATCATGACTCCTAGTGGGTAGGAAATTGCAGTGATGTTCCAAAGATTGCAAAGTGTTCAAGAATGATTGAGGTATTACACAGTGAAGGGAAGAAAATACAGGGAGCCAGGACTCTAGAGTTTGGAATCAGGCCCCAGGCTTTTCATACTGGCAAATAACATGGCTGACTGGCCATGTATGTTCCTAAAAGTTTCTGAATACAACAGACTGTAAGGTAAATTGGCTAATCTCATTTGTGCCCCCTCTTGACACTTCTGTGCCTCGTAGTGCAGGAAGAGCAGTCCTTTTTTGTAGAGAAGGAAGTAGAAACGCACTGGCTTAGCTGCAGGCAGGTCTGGAATGAAGCCTTTGGCACACACTCACTGACTCTTTTGGTCTGTTACCCCTTAGTTCCTTAGGTATGTTTGGGAGAAGTGTTGGTTTGCATTTTTCTACAATTTGCCTTCATTTGAAGGGTGCTCTTACAGGTCTGCTGTGTGTCACATGCACTGACATGGCTGTATTGGCTGGGAAATTGGGGGAAACCTGTTACAGCAAATATGGAGGCACGTCTATAAGCACCACCTGCTGTCATGAGATGGTGAGTAGGAGGGAGTGCCAGGCAATGAGATGCCCGAGCTTATATTCCATTGCCATGTTTTTCTTCCTGTTATTCTGCTCCAAAGGAAATAGATATTTCCTGAATTGGTTGTTCTGCAAGGACAGATAGTAGTAACTGGTAGAGCCTTACAAGTACTATAGTACTGGTACTCCCAGCTTATCTGTTCTCTATTGTACTCAGCTGCCCTGTTAAATAGTTACAGAGAACAAAGAATGTAATGGAAACATCACATGCTGTGAATAATTCGCAAAGGTCCTATATACCCTCTGAAAACATAGCTGATTCATGCCAATGCCCAGAGGGAAAAAGAACCCTCACTGCACTGCCCTTTCTCTCCCAGGCCCTGCGGATTATCCTGCACAGCCTGGATCTCCGTGCCAACTGCTACCAGCGCTATATCGTTCCACTGTTATCTGTCAGTGTTGACTTTTACATTCGTGTGTTTGTTCGAGTCTTCAGTGGACCATCCAAGGTCAAAGCTTCTGCTAGGTAAGCACCTGTTCCAGATGATGTTTCACTTTTTCTGCTGGGCTTCCCCCATGGAGGAAAGGAGTCCAGATCTCCTGTTTGCTTTCCAATTGCTCCCAACTGGTTGCGTTAAGAAGCAGGATGTCCACTGCAGCCGATATGGCTCAAGGCTGCTACCTGGGCATTTCCTTCTTTGTCCCTTCTTTGCCGCCTAGCAGCTCTTCCTTTCTTTCTCTTGGCAGCAAACAGGCCTTGGTTTATAACTGTGTGGGCTGTGGATCATTTCACATCCAGAGGCTTGGCAAGATGGTTAGCGACGGAAAAAAGTAAGAGTTCTTTGTAGTTTTGGCAGCGTAGCGGCGATTCCCTTTATCCTGCTGCCTAAATCATTTTGGTGGGTAAAATTTTTTCCTGCTAGGTGTTCTCTACTGCATTGATCATAGCGTAAAACTAATTTCCTGTTTTAATGGGTCTTGCTTTCTTAATTGGAGTTGCTGGTTACTTCCTATCTTCTCTGAGTTTTTTTTTTCCTTTTGGATTTTAAAATAAAAAAGTATTTGCAGACATCTGAAGCTCATGAGCTGGGAAAGGAAAATGGGAAAGTGTTTCTACATAGAAAGGAGGTACCTGTTTATTGGGAGTTGTAAGCCCCAACACTATTAAGTACTTTATTTATCCAAGAGAAAGATGATTTCAAACAGAAAATTACATACATAAAACATTCCTATTGGAAAATATGACCTGTCGTTTACTGCCTCTTAGCATTAGAAATTGCCTACTCTTTCCCCAGTAGAAACATTGCTGCTGAGGATTCAAAGGCTTAACCCTGAGCAGGTGCTGTACGTGTGTTTCTGATGCTTAATATATACTGTGTTGGTGAAGAGAGACACGTGGGCCGTTGGTTTTCAGTCTCTTGGACTTTTAGACGGTGTATAGTTGTAACATAACTAATGGCTGTTCCCAGGAAACATTTGATAAACAGGGAGGAAACAAAATCCATACATTGTTTTGATTTACAGTAGTTTAATGGCATCTGTTTCTCTTCTGTGTAACCCCACAGCTTCAACTATAAGCCTGCTTGTGGCCCCCCCGTGGGACCATCCTGTGAACATTGCCACCAGCACCACCAGGTGAGCTGGGAGAATATGAAGCCTCATGGTTTGCATGCTGTTAGAGAAGTGATTTGCCCAAGCTGATTCTTCCTCCTTCTCCTTGCCTTGCAGCTGGCTGGCCCAATGTGGGCAGCACCGCTTCACGATTTGGGTTTTGTCCAGCGAGTCTTGTCAGCAGTTGAGTGTAACCCAGGGCGCTTTCAGACAAATCAACGGATTCAGGGCATCCTGAGCATGGTGATGGAGGTGAGGATGATGGCTATTGGCAGAGTAGATAGGATGGTTCTCCTTTCAGATAACTTCCAGAAGCAAAGACATGTCATCAAGTAGTAAAGTAGCAGAGAGCTAGCCAGAAGACCGCCAAGTTTTGCAGGTGGCATTGCTCTGCTCAACTTAAGACAGCCTTCCCCAACTTGGTGCCCTCCAGATTGCAGCTCTAAACTCCATCCCACGTGAGTAAAACTAGGAGGTGGAATCCCAGTGTAGTGGGATTGCTGACCATGCGGAGGAAGGCTGACCTAAGAGGTATAAGCTAAATAATGTATGCAGTGTCCTATTGGAATTGTTTATTCAACTTGAGAATGGCAAAGGTGGGGGGAATGCATTATTGCAAGGCACCAATGATCTAGCCATGTTCTGCATTCCCTGCACAGTTATTGGCATCTTTCTAACGAGATAATTGTAATAGTGAATAAGCTTACCTAAAAGGGAACCTGTTTTAGCAAGCCTGGAAAGTGCCTTGTGAACGGAGCATTTGCTGAAAGCAGAATGTGACTAAAACACGGTTACAATAGCAGATACGCCTCTTCTGTAACCTCACTAGAATAACTTTCCTATGTAATTAGAATCTGCTTTCCTCTGCATGTAGGAACTCAGTGACGTCCCTCTCTATTATACCCTTGATAAACTCAGTAAAACCATCCATTCTAACAGTCCTTCTCTACTGCAGTTCAGGTAAGATGAACTTACTAATTTGCACCCAGAACTTGTATTTAACCTAAAAGAGGAATGTCCTGAGATTTCCTGTGTATGTGGTGATAGACAGGATTTCCTCGCAGTTGCTGGCAAAGCCAGGATTTGAACACCGTTATGAATCCATATTGAGGAGATAATGTATTTTTTTTCTCTGGCAGTCCTACCAATAGTGATGTATTAATCAGGAGTTCTGCTAAGAGACTTGGTGTTTCTTAGCAAGTTAACTGGTCTTGTGAATCTCTGAATCTTTGTTCAAACACAAGTGGGATAGTCATCATGTGGAGATGGCTCAGGCCCCATTGCCTGACAAAACATGCTGTTTGAAAGATTCCTCCTCCAGGGCTGTGGTTGACTCAAGGCTAAATTTTGCCTGATTTGGAAACACAGCTGCTGGGGTGTCAGCATGATATGTCATGTGATTTTAAGGATATGCAAAGAGTACATGTTATAGGGTAGTTGGGAAGAAGTTGCAAGTTCCAGTGTTATGGCAGAAACAGACAGTTTTTAAATTTGTAGTATAGAAAAAAAATCTAATTTGACCAAATTGGAGTCTCATGTTCAGATTATTGTACCCATTTTTCTGCTTTCCCAACCAATGCTGACTTGTCTCAAGTGTTGCTGGGGCTTCTGCTAATCTTTTTCCTTAAGGAAGCCAGGGAATGTTTTAATATAAGTCTTCTCTGGATTCTTTTCCAGATCAGCTCTTCTTCACGCTGGCTATCAAGTGTCACTTTCTCATGCCTGCAAGAATGCTATCAAGACAGATGCACCATCATCTGTACTTTGGGACATCATGCGTTGCTGGGTGAGCATGCTCTTCCTTTCATATAAGGGAGCTTTCTTTTCTGGCTTTCTTAAAAACTGTTGGCACTAAATAACATCTGTGGAGATCTCCCAGTTTTGAGGCTGATCTGGGCATCAAGATTCTCACTGAAGAGATTTCTGGTTTCTCCTCTACTTTAGTTTTTAGGGAAAACCAGTCACCTTTAAACTGCTTTCTTTCTGCATGTATGTCCTGTGCTTTTTTGTTTAAGCTTTAATGAATATTCAGTGCAATGCAGCCCTAAAAGATTTATAAAGAAACAATTCCGAGCCATCCCTTCTCCTGTAGTTGGTTGCTTTTGCTCTTGCCTGCTCTCTTTCTCTTAGGCCTTTTTTAGATTAAATTGCTGTTCCTTCTCTTCCTTCTGCCCATCCCCGCCTATAGGAGCAGCTCAATCCTGTGAAACGAGAGCGCCTTTCAGAGAGCAGCCCGGCTGCTCACATCCTTTCCGTGGAACCCAAGTAGGTGATGGTCACATGGTAGGACCGGGCTTGAGATGAACAAATGTGGATTTTGAGCTGAGAAACAAATTGGTTTAGGTGCAGGATATTAAAGACTTAGATGTCCTGACGGCAGAAATCTAAAGTTTCTGAAGGCAAAAGGGAAACAAACAAAAAACAGAAGGGGGAGGTTGGCAGTAGAGGCTTGGAGGAGAATATGCATCTCCCAAGTGTGTGGTTTTATTTTGAAGCTGTTTCTTTGCAAGAGAAGATCATAAGATACTGTCCTCTCTTACCACTGGCAGAGCCTATTAAAAGGTTCTTAGAGGTTACATTTCTGTCACAAGTTTTAATCTGCCCCTTATCTGGACTTCCTATAAATTGTACAGGCTGCAGGCATCCTTCACTGTCCGAGCAGATGCTAATCCTAAATCGCGAAAGCAGAGACTCAAACGGTTCCAGATGAATCCTGAACCCTTCTGGGGGCCCAAAGCAAGAGCAAAAGCAGGGTAAGATTGATTTAAAGGGAATCGTGGGGTGCTGGGAGGAAACCAGAATACCCAGATATAAAACTCTTCTGGGATTACAAATAAATCTGTGATATTTGGAGGAAACAAGAACTCTGTTCCTTCATTGTAAAACTGCTGCCAGATGTATTGTTACGGCTGTGAATTAGAAAGTTTTTAATAGGATGTTTGTCTTTAGAAGATTGTGTGGTGAAGGGAAGAGCATGATTAGCATCTTCCTCTGCACCCTGAGTTCCTTTTCTTCCCAGAAAATAAAAATGCACATATCACAGCTACAGCTCAGGCCCTTGGTCAATGTGGCCGCTACTTCTCTTTGCTGGGTGCAGCCTAGCCATAGAAGGAAAGTAGATGAGCCCTCTCGGGTGCAGAAACAGGTGGGCATCTTCCCACTCATACCTCAATGTTTTTACAGGGTTGGCTACAGCTTTCCATTATGAGCCTTTGTATGAGCCCCACATCAAAACAAAAGGGAGCTGCCCTGATTCATGCCTAATTATTTTTCTGGGTCAGGGGTGGGATTTCTTCTTGTCTGCAGGAAAAGCGAAAGTTACACCAGAACAAGAGGAAAGTGTGTGTGGTGGGGAGTGATGGTGCTCACCTAAAAAACTTCCCATGCAAAAGGTTCCGGCAGGTAAGTAGCCACAGTTACTGTGCATGGTAAGAAATTATTAAAAGCCTGTGAAAGGAGGTGGGCAGCATATTTCTGGATTGAGTTTATTGTGACAGCACAGGTCCAGGAAGAAATGTGCTTGGCGTGTGATAGAGAAGGATCATGGCACACTACTCCACTTGGTTTCTATAACATTTGATCTCTCTTCTATGGATTGGATCATTGGGTCGATATAGTTGGGTCATGGCACAGATGGAGACATCTGGATCTAAAGGAAATGGGGAGGTGATGACGTCTTACTAGAGCAGCTTTTCAGGTGACTGCACTAATTTAGATCCAGTGCAGGGTCTAAGCTTCCTGGGAAATAGAAAAAAATGGATTAAGGGCTCCCTTCTCCATGCAGGGGGTCTGTTACGATGCAGGAGCATGCAGTTTGCCTCCTAGAAACAGAGAAAACATTCACAAACGTATTTAGTTTTGGTTTCTTTAGCTGCAGATAAGTAAAGGTTCTAATGAGTAAGAAGTATCTGCTCTAGCTTAAGAGTGGCAGCCAGAAACAATAATCCTTCATGCCTAGCCACACTCCATTTTAACCAATGTTACGGGTGATAACTCCAATTAAATGTCAGGACATTCTCTGAAAAGTAGATTCGGCAGCTCTTGATTTTAACATGGTCCACCAAGCCAGAGTGCTGCTTGCTTGATATTTTACCAAACTGCTCTGCTTTGGCAGACCTAGGGTAGCAGCAAAGATTTAAATCCTTATGGTGGAGGCACCATTCAGACTATAGGCACACTGTGAAAGTCTCCTTGAAGACCTGCTATGTTTGACTTACATTTAAAAATGCTAATGATAAGGGATGGTGAAGCAGCCTATGTAAAAAGTCCATTCTCCAGAGCTGCTTAGTCAGGTAGTTTCTTTTTGTTAGCAATCGGCCACTTGTATGAATGACATAGGCTGGACTGGGGGCAAGGATATGAATGTCTTGTTTAAGTTGTTCCAACGAATGCCATTTTCTTTCCCAGGGCGACTGTTCACTAGGGGACAAGTGCTGCTACTCCCATGAGACACAGAAAGAGTGAAGCACCACAACAGCAGTGCAGTGAAAGAGTCCTGACTGCCTGGTGTGATTTTTATTTTTGCATTTACAGGCAATCTTTATATTTCAATGACTGTCAAGATGTGCATGCCAATTAAATAATATTATCTTTTGATGATGCTTGGGTTTGTGACTGTTTAATAGTGATGATGGCATCTTTTTGTTTCGTTAGCATTTCTGTATGCATGGGATAGCAATATCTACGAACCAGTTCAGTTTCTAATAGAACAGCAGGAAGGAAATTTACCTGTGGCCCCCTTTCCACTTTCTGATTGTTTTTTTTTTTTTAATCTTCCTGGCCATCTAAAACAAAGCACCAATCTGCTTGCAGAAAGTCCCAGGGTGGGACTAAACGGCTAAGACACTTTCTGTGAAACATTTATTGCTACTGGCAGGCAAGATGGGTAACACTGGGTTAGACAGAGCAATGATATGACTTGGCGTAACGCAGCTTCCTATGGCTGGCAGAAGTATTAAGTTTCAGACTGTATGGTATTCTTCCATCATACATGTAATTCTGGTCAAAAGCTCAGGGTAAAAGTCCCACAATTATTCCCCCCCCGCCCAAAAAAAGCCCCATCTAGAATGCGAGTTGCTTATCTGAGCACATTCATTGCTCTTTTCAAGCTGACAGTACTCCTCCTCCCAATAACATTAGAATGAAGTAGCAAGTTACCTAGAAAAAGCACTTCCAAAATACCATTTTAATGTTCTAAGTACTTAGCCACCTTCAACTGTCTCTATTCGCCAAATCGATTCATCACTGGTTGGTTTTCAGTTGTCCACTTCTGCATTTTTTCTGAAAATTGGTGCAAGTACTTTAATGCAAGGCTCAGCTTAATACTGAGGTGTTATGGATGTGAACAAAAGTTGAATAAGACATTGTAAAACAAATCTAAGTTAGTGGTTTACAAGGCATAGGCTTATTTTCCAGCCTATACAACTTATTCCACATTAGCCCTTGAGTCTGCACTGTCTGAATTTTATTATCCATGCTGGTGGAAACTGATAAGATGTGTGAGAGCCTGAGTTTAATTGCCTTTCCAACTTTTAACAGATTAAGAAAAAGTGAAGCAATATGCAAAATAGTTATATGTATTTAAGAGGTTTATTAAAAAGATGATTGTACTTAAGATAGTCCAAATATTCCAGCACTTCCAAAACCCTTTGTAAGGATGGTCATTTTTTTGTTTGTTATGGATGTGCTTTGAGGACATGGAGGCAGGACCAGAATGGCCTTTTAACAGTGATCCCTTTTTCATTTGCAAAAGAAAAAAAATCCAAGAAAATTTCTAAAGGTAGTCCTACTACCTATACCATCAGGAATCAAGCAGCTTAAGGGCATCCTCTTTCCACAGAGCAAGATAATGCCTGGCCCAGAGAGGAACCACTTCCTCTATCTTGTGCAGGTTCCTGAGGGAAGGCTCCAGCGTCCTGCTGTACCTTGAGACAATGCGTCACTCTGCTTGGACCAAATGGCAGGTTGAACTCTTCCTTACATTTCTTGCCTAGGCTTGTCTTGGTACCTAATCTGTAGCAAGAAGGTTCGGATCTCCATGGGAAATAATTCAATGTGTGCTGGGTCTAGGCCAGTGCCTGATCGCTGTTCTGCTGCTACCCCTGTGGACAGAAGGATTTTGAGAAACAGTGATGGTAGAATACCAGAGTGAGATTTGCAAGGAACAAGAAAGGCACCCGTTATTGTGACACAATGGGATTCACAATGGGATTCCAGCCCAACAGAGCTTATGCCAGGATCTGTAATTGTGGGAATGAACTTATATTAATGGCCAAATTTTGCCCAGTCATACGAAATGCAGGCTTTGGGGTTAGGATACAGAGGCCACTTGGTCCCTGGAAAGGTTGCCAGGCACAAAGTTTGAAGAAAGATAGTTGTCAGCCTATGGAGGACAAATTGCAGGTTACAGAGAGGTGTTTTAGAGCAGCCCACTGGAGTGGCTTTCAATGTGACTCAATTATGCTAAATCCGTTGGGATAAAAGGGACTGAAAGCATCATGCAACAGACACTGCTGCTGTGCAGACAGATCTGCAATTCCACTTCAACCCTCACCTTCAGCTGGCTGCCAGAGGAGCCTGCTCACATCCTCCCGCTTCTGGTTTGCTGACAAGTTCATTTCTTGCACGGTGACGATGTTGAAGGAAGAGAACAAATTCTGACAAAGTGGAAAGACAGAAGAATCTATGAATCTCAAGTTGAACCTCAGTGCTAGAATCACTTTGATCAGGTTCTCCCCACTTTGTTAAGATCTGACCCACCCAATCCTGTCCTTCAGTTTTGGTCTTCAACCAGCATCAACTCAAATCTTTATATCTTCTGTCCCATATACTGAATACTATGTGTCCCATCAATCTAATAAAAATGTGAGAGGCTAGCCAGGAAATCATTCATTCGGATCCAAACTGGGCTGTGAAATCCACAAGCGATTTTGGCTATTATCTGCAGGATGGAGATACTAATGCTTCCCTACCTGATAGGTCTGGTGGAATTCAGGTAAAACACTAAGGACAGAATACTGAACATTTAAAAAATTACCCATTTTATTGATACCCTAGCCCAGCTAAATTACAGAGAACAGTTCATGCCTTTATTGATAACATTGTCTCTAGCAAGAAACCTACCAGCAAATTAATGACGACAGGCAAGGAGCCATTGACCGCCTCCCCATGTTCAAACTGGTGCTCTAGACGGATGAGAACGGCATCAGGCTCCCACTGGGCCAGTGTGAGCAAGTGGATGTTCGATGGAAGGGCATGGTGGAGAGCGGAGAACTGAGGATTGGGAGAGAAAGTATCGGGCAAACAAAGATATGGTCAGATTACTATCACTGAAGAGCCACAATGTTGGAGAATGTCACTGGCATATAAAATATAAAAATAAAAAAGGAAAGTCATTAGATACTAAACAATATACAAGTTATGAAAAGCAGAAGTGGTTCATTGGCTTAAGAAGTTAAACTGCATTTACAAATCACCAGAGGTGGGCAGAACTTTGAAAAATACTTTGGAAGCATGCAGGCAGCACCTGTCCGTAATTCTTTAAAAAAGCCATGTATTTTCCTGAGATTGTGTAACTATACTCTGCAGCTGCCACACAGTCCCTAGAAAAGGTGCAGCTACTTTTAAACAGTTGCAGAAAGTGCTGTGCTCAGATGTACTTCTTGGAATGCTCTGGATTCTAAGGCCCTCAAAAATAAAATAATCTTACAACAGTAATAGTTTCTTCTTAGACATGCCATCCATCATTTGCTGAAACGAATCTGTGACTATTAATAAATAAGGCTTGAGACATCTGATGACTGCTTGTCTATTTTCTACCTTTCCCTCACCTCTTTGACAATGCCCTGACCAGGCTGGTATGGGGGTCCTCCCCCTGGTGCCAGCACCAGCTGTGGTGCCATGTACTCTTGCTGGGCCCGCAGGCGGTGCTGCTCAGCTGATGATTCCACTGTATCTAGGAAGACAAGGTGACGACCTCGCACCACTAATCCATTGTGATAATCGCCAGGTTCTAGTAATGGCTCCCCTACGCCCCGGTTGTCATCATGTAGCAGCCTTCGATGTACCTGAAGTGACATGCCAAAAATAAAAGAAAAGGAAAAAAAGTGGAAGTCAGAAGAAGAATGGCAGGACAAGTACTGTAATTCAGTCTGTTAATGTCTTAAAATGCCTAGTGCTGTGGGATGGATATGTCTTTTCAGGATGCTGAAGAACAAGTGATTCCTAAAACACAAGTCACTGACTTTATACCAGTTCATCTAAGCATTGGTCTTGCTACAATTTGACACAGACTTTTCCTTCTGATTGTAGAATTCTCACCACTTTGGCTGCTGATAGTTCTCCCTTGCCTCAATTTTCTAGCCTTATGTCCTTCCATCTACTGAAACTGATTCTTCTGTTTTCGGGGTGAACATTTTAGACAAGGAGCTCAGGTCCCACGAATATAAAGGAGAGAAGCTGGTTCCCACAGTTTCAGCTGGAAGCAATTACAGAAAGCACTTCTCTTCCTTGTTGCTCCACCAACCTGCTATGCATACCATAAGTTCAAGAGAGCCATCAGTGAGGCTACTGCCACCCTGCGAGCGATCTGTCAGCACTGTTAGCTGGGTCTTTCGGTCCTGGAATGAAAGAAGTAAAAAGGCTACACCTGGCTGCATGCATAAACAAACCTCACACTAGGGAGCTGCTGCAGAGTTACAGGTGATCCCACCACACTGGAGCATCCAGATAACCACGTTGCCACCTCAACCTACACCAGACAGAAACCTACCCATATTATCCCATAACTCTGCTTGTGTGGGCAGCTAGTCCTACAGGAGAGTATCCTCGGAACAGCCAAGCCTGCCAGGAACCAGGGGATATTATTACCTTGATGTAGATGCGACTGTTCACGGGGTAGTAGTTGCCTGCCACAGGCTCAGTCTGGCTCAGATTCCATGTGACTCTGTAATCCCGCCTTCCCAGGAAATGAAAGAGCAAATGAGCTTCCTGACTTCCTTCAGTCAGCTAAACCTTGTGAAATTGAGGGCTACCCCCCCCAGCTGTTGTAAATGGAAGGGAGGGTCAGTGAGGGTCAGAGAAGAGTGAACAAAAAGGCAACATCTACAGCTGTGACTGATATTTAAGTTCTCATAAATTATTTTTGAAAATTTCAGCTTGGCATGTTGGATAAATTCAGCCCTTGTATAAGCCTTGCCCAGCCTGGGCACTCTCCCCATGTATGGATTTCAACTCCCAACAGGGTCATTGCTGAGAATTGGGAGAGTTGAAGTCCAGTGGCCTGCAGGGAGCCCAGAATAGAAAGGCTGCATTGTAGTTTGTAAGCCAGGGTTTGTAGCTTTCAGAGGCTGGCTAAAAATGCTAGCAGTAGTTTCAATGAGTCTGGAGGCCATTGCTTTGGGGAATGCTGGTGTAGAGTAAACCAGTTTTATACAGATCTACTGGGAATGAGCACTAAATGTAGAAACACTGAAATCTAATAGCTTGCTTAAGGTTATCGAGTTTATTGTGACCAAGCATTTTAAAACCAGACATTTCTAGCGAATGGTTTGTGCTCTAAGCCACTGCATAGTTCTGGCTGCAGGCCAAGAGGGTTG